ATCCACATGCTAAGAATACTCCTAAGGGGTTCATACTCCTTACACCTAGGCCAACGGGATACCAATCCAACTAGCATGCAATATACAAGACTTATTCAACCTACGAATGGTACCCGAACATCAAACTAGACATAGGCACGATGGACGGAGTCCGTTGGGACGTCACGGGGGTCGGGGAAACATCAAACTGGGAAGCCGGAAACCCGAGGTAGGGTATTTTCCAACGGGTAGCCGGTGGGTGAGGGTTCACCCGCCGGCTGCCCACCGGTGGCGTGACTCCGGGCAGCGGGTGTCGGGGAAACATCACGTAAACATCAAGAACATCATATAATTATCAAGAACATCATATAATCATCAAGAACACCATATAATCATCAAGAACCTCTCAAGATCACCAAGATCACCTATGGAGTCACAATGCCAATTATCAAGATCAATATAACGAATCATCAATCACGCATGAATAAGGGGGAAATCCTAAGAGGGGAATTATAGCTATGAAAATAGTTTTTGTTGAGACATGAGTTACCTCTTTAGCCTTAATTAATTCCTTGGCTATGAAGGATCTTTCTTTAATCTTTCTTCTTTCTTGATTTCTCCTAGGGGAATTCTTGGAATTCTTGGTGTGGTGAGAGATTATTGTGGTGGGGGTTCTAGGTGCCTTCTAAGTTCCCTATTTATATATCTAAGAATCTTACTTGGGGTCTATTCCTTCTAGGACTTGGGGTTGGGTTTAGAGATGAGGGCCCATGGACTATGGTGGGCCTTTTCCTAATTAATTCCTGTAATTTAATTCTTTCTTTTGGGTAATTGGTTAAATAATTAATTGGTTTTAGGGGTCGTAACACGGGGTGTTACAGCTAATGCCGCCAACCTTTACCGAATCCAACTTCTATAATGGGGAGTTCGGGAGCATATCCGGAAAAGGAGTAACGGAAGTGGGAGACCACCTGTAAAGAGAACTAGGACGCCAATTAAGTGCAAGGAAGTAAAGTAATGCATGAACAACGCCTTTGCTTAATCTTTAGTGCGAGGTAAGTATATCATGTTAACTTGTGAACCCTTTGCCTTAGCTTAAAATATCATTCGCCCTTGAATCCCAGCCTCTTGATATTCCTAATTGTTGGAATCCTTGCCTTGAATCCTTGGTTATCCTTGAAAGCAATTAAACTGTGACACCCCAAAAATCCACACTCCAATCCATGAATTAATTGAGTAATTAATTCTATTTCTCTTGAGGAATTGATTCCTAAAATCCTGATTTTTTTGATACTCAAGGACTAGTATTTGACTAGTCAATCTTTAAGTTGTGTTGTACCTTGTGCTTTGGGAGGAGTTCCCTTGTTCCTTACACTTTCTAAGAGTTAGTAAGGGTAGCCTTGTCTTTTCACCAAGAGTTAGTTTTGTAACCTAAACCTAGAAGACTTCTTCATTTAATTCCTCACAATTCCTAGAAAAATATCTCTACCTTCTCTCTAGAAAAGAAGAGTAGCTTGTTCTTCAAGCCAAGTGAGACTTTTGACAAGATTCCAAGTTTTGCTTCCAAGATTCAATCTTTCACCTATTTGGGCATCTAGAAGGGTAAGATCTAAGCTTGTCTAGTATTGTTGGTTCCATCTTAGTTGTCTTTTTCTTAAAGCTAGGATCTTTATGATCTTTTGGTTTGATCTTGAAGTGGGTTTGGTTAGTGAACTTAGTGGAGAGCTTGTTGTGGTGTAAGAGGAGTCTTTTGGTTTTCAAGAGGTAACCCATGCTCTACAAAACCTATTTTTCTTACCTATATATGATTTCTTGGCTTCTATTTGTGTTTTGCTATGAAATGTGAGAGTTTATGCATTTATCTTGTGATATTGCATATCTAGAGCTTGTGTTTAGGATTCCTTTGTGCCATTGCTTGGCATTTTCCATGGTTCAAGTCATTTTGTTGTGTTTGGTGAGATTTGGTATGTTTTGGACTTGAATTTGTGTTTGGAGAAGAAAATCTCCGAAGGGATTGTTTGACACAGGAGCGTGTACTCGCGGGCAGAACGGCGGGGAGAGCCCTACCTGCCGCCTACCCGCCTGTACACGGGAATGTGGGTGTTGTACCCGCGGGCAGAACGACGGGTAGGGGCCTACCCGTGGGTCCACCCGCGGGGTACACGGTGGCGTTTGGTTCAGGATTTGTTCCCCGTGATTTGTTTGTCTCGGTGTTTGGTCTTTTCGCTTCCCGTTGTTCTTTTGTGGAACTATTTGAGTGTTTTCTTGATGTTTCTTAGGTCTAGAGCTATATGGTAGGTATCCATGTAGGATCTTTGGTGTCGTGAATCGTGCTAAGTGTTCAACATTGTGTTTCGTTGAACCAAGAAGTGTCTTGTGTGTTCCTCGGAACTATCTTGAGTTTCTCCGTTGATAAGCATGCTAGTTTGTTGTCTTAATGCTAGCGTGTGTGTTGTTCGTACCTTTCGTTTGGTTGATGATAACTTGCGTTTTCATCGTTGTTGTTGTTGGGTGGTGACTCGTTCCTTGATTGAGTATGTTTCATACCTTCGTTGTAATCCGTTGCTTGACTTTCGTGTGAGTGGTGGTGCGTGTGTGGCTCTACCTGGATTGCACGATTAGTGGTATGGGACGCTAGTCACCAAGGTATTGCAGCGGTCCTCGTGGTGGCCGTGATGTGATTATGGAGCTGTGGCTGAGTCCACGTGATTGGGGGATAACATTGTGTTATCCGGGCATGTGTTGCCGTGATTGGTGGGTTTTCGTTGGTGGTTATAGGTGGGGGACGACGGTCCTGGCGGAATAAGGTTGGACTTGGCTGTACAGGGGTTTTCTGGAGGTAATGGTTGGCTTTGAAGGTACAAGGTTGGGGGTAGCCATAAGGTTGGAACAGGGCATAAGGAAGGCATATCAACTCGTGATGGGTGATGTCACGAGGGCTTGTGTAGCCGTTGTTGTGTGATCTTCTCTCGTGACTTGTGTAGTCACGGAGGCTTGTGTTGTTTGGCATGTGTTGCCGTTGGGTGAGTCTTTATCCTTGTGTGTGGTTAACCTTTGTGGTTGGGATGTGTTCCCGGTGTTATCCTTGCGAGTGGTGAGTCTTGTGTCGTCTTTTAATCTTGGCTTTTGACTTATATATATGTATTCCGTTTCAAAAATGGTTTTTATATCTTATATCTACCTATTTATGATACTTAACGGTATTGGTGGGTTACCAGCATCTTTCGCTGACCGGGCGTCGCCCCGATGTTTATCTTTGTGTTCTTTCAGGTGTTGAGTAGTCGAGCGCGATGTCTAGAGCTGGTAGCTTAGTACCTGTACCTTTAGACTGTGTTTTTGGTGGCCTGCGTGCCAATGGTTTTAGATTGTTTTTAGATGGACGTTTTGGGATAGTGTGTTACACGTGCAGATTGTCGCCTTAGCGTTACCTCGTGTGGTATACGTGGCATAACACCCCTGTTTTGGATTTCTTTTATCCAGTTTCTGTTTATCTTCCGCTGTGCTAGTTTTATTGTTAATCTGCATGTGTTAAGGCTTGTTTTTAGGTCTTGTTGTTTTTGTGGGGGGTGTTACAGTTGGTATCAGAGCTTAGGTTTTGAGCCTTGGTTTAGAGCCTAGGAAGAGTTGAGTCTGGACTTTCTAAGTGTTTAAGTGTTTTTTGAGACCTCTAAGAGACCTTAAGAAGGTAAGTGTTAGGCTTAGGATTCTAGGTTGCGCGGTGAGATGTGCGTTGCTTTCTGTCTTGCTTGCTTGCTTGCTCTTTTGGTAACCTTGTTGTTGTAGCAGAAGTCTGTGATGCCTCCTCGCCATCGAACCTTAGTGTTTGAAGATGTGGGTGAAGTGGTTAAGAAATCTCGGTTGACTGAAGCTAGCAATGCTTCTGGGGTGATTGAGCGGTGGATTCAGAGTGGTACGTTCACAAGGGTAAGTCCTAGTGCAGCGGCTTTGCCAGCACACTGTGATGTAAGAGAGTTTGGGAGGATAGAGGTTCATCATCCGGTGGTGGGGTCATCTGAAGAGAGGGTGCTTACCTTAAATGAAGTTCGAACAAGTGACAGTGACGTAGTAGTGGGAACCTTCCTTGTGCAATCTGTGCCAGCAACAGTCTTGTTTGATTCAGGGGCGTCTAACTCGTTTATATCATTCGGCCTCGTGAAGAAGTTGGGCTTATCTGGGGGCACTGGAGTGAGGTTTGACGTGAAGGTAGCATCGGGAGAAGTTAGGATGTGTGATCGTCTTTTTGAGGACATCAAGATTTGTATCAAAGGTGAATAGTTTTCGAGTGATCTAATCCAGTACGACTTGGATGGGATGGATGTGGTCCTAGGTATGGACTGGTTGGGGCGGTTTAGAGCCCAAATCTTGTGCAAAGATCAGAAGGTAGTGCTACGAGGACCCAGCGGGAAAAGAGTGTCATATCGTGGAAAGATGGAAGAACCCGGAATTAAGTTGGTGTCTATGGTAAAGATGAAGAGGTATATGGACAAGGGCAATGATGTGTACTTGTGTTCGGTCGAGAACTTGAAGGCAAAAGGAGAGGTAGCTCAATCTATTCCCGTAGTCCGTGAGTTTCTTGATGTTTTTCCCGAAGAAATACCGGGTATGCCGCCTGCTAGGGAAGTGGAATTTCAGTGGATCTTATGCCGGGCACTGCACCCATCTCTAAAGCCCCTTATCGTTTGGCTCCGCCTGAAATGCAAGAGTTGAAGGCTCAATTGCAAGAACTTCTTGATAAGGGTTATATCTGGCCAAGTGCATCGCCTTGGGGAGCTCCGGTGTTGTTTGTAAAGAAGAAGGACGGGAGTATGAGGTTGTGTATCGACTACCGGGAGCTGAATCAAGTTACCATCAAGAACAAATACCCTCTCCCAAGAATAGACGACTTGTTTGATCAACTCCGTGGCGCGGGAGTGTTTTCCAAAGTTGACTTGAGGTCAAGATACCATCAGATAAGGGTAGCAGACAAGGATATCCCTAAGACTGCGTTTCGGACTCGGTACGGTCACTATGAGTTTACAGTTATGCCGTTTGGGATGACTAATGCTCCTGCAGTTTTTATGGATCTGATGAACAGAGTGTTCAAGCCCCACCTCGATGATTTTGTGATCGTGTTCATCGACGATATTTTGGTTTATTCAAAAGATAAGAGAGAGCATGTTGGGCACCTTCGGACGGTACTTCAAATCTTGCGGGAAAAACAGTTGTACGCCAAGTTCTCTAAGTGCGAGTTTTGGAAAGACAGTGTGGCGTTTCTAAGCCACGTGATTGATAGTAGGGGGATTTCTGTGGATCCGGACAAGATACGGGCAGTGAAAGATTGGACTATACCTTCATCGGTGTCAGAAGTAAGGAGTTTTCTTGGTTTAGCAGGCTATTACCGAAGGTTTGTGTTAGATTTTACCAAGGTGGCTCAACCGTTGACTAAGTTGTTAAGAAAAGAAGTGCCTTTCGTTTGGAGCTAAGCTTGTGAATCAGCATATCGAGATTTGAAGGAGAGGCTCACGTCTGCACCAGTTTTAATTTTGCCATCGGGAACGGAAGGGTTTGAGGTATACAATGATGCGTCCAAGAAAGGACTAGGTTGTGTGTTGATGCAAAACGGGAGAGTGATTGCTTACGCCTCACGTTAGCTTAAGGTTCACAAAGAGAATTACCCTACGCACGATTTGGAATTGGCCGCGGTGGTGTTTGCTTTGAAAATTTGGAGGCATTATCTCTATGGGGTGCGTTGCAAGATATTCACGGATCACAAGAGTCTCAAATATATCTTTACCCAAAAGGATCTCAATATGCGACAACGAAGGTGGTTAGAACTCATCAAGGACTATGAGTTAGATATTCAGTATCATGAAGGAAAAGCTAATGTGGTGGCGGACGCCTTAAGTCGGAAATCGAAGCATACCGCTAGTTCTATTTGGGTGGTGGCGGATGAGCTTTGTAAGGAGCTTCAACAGATGAGCTTAGAAGTGGTGGAACAAGGAAATGTGGAGGCAGAAGTTCGTTGCTATAACTTGAGGATTGTACCTACGTTTCTGGGAGAAATCAAGGAAGAGCAGCAAAGGGATATGTTTTTGACCAAGGTAAGGGATGACCTAGCTAGAGGAAAAGGGGGACCGTTTGAGTTGTCTGCGGATGGGGTGTTGAGGTACAAAAACCGTGTGTGCATACCCGCGTCATATGATCAGTGGAAGCGACGGATTTTGGAAGAGGGTCATAACACACCCTATTCGGTTCACCCCGGGGGAGACAAGTTATACAAAGATGTGAAAGGCTTCTTCTGGTGGCCTAATATGAAGAAGGAAGTTGCAGAGTTTGTAGGGAAGTGCCTTAATTGCCAAAAGGTTAAAGCGGAACGTTGTAAGGTTAAGGGGTTGGTACAACCGTTAGAAATTCCACAAGGAAAGTGGGATTCTATATCTATGGATTTCGTGGGAGGATTACCGACGACCCGTTCGGGTAAGGACAAAATCTAGGTAATAGTTGATCGTCTGACTAAGACCGCTCGCCTTATTGCTATGAAGGAGACTTGGACAATGACACAGTTGGCTCAAGCTTATGTCAACCAAGTGGTAAAGTATCATGGAGTTCCGAGGGATATTGTCTCCGATAGGGATCCAAGGTTCTTGTCTCAATTTTGGGAATCCTTGCAAGCAGCCCTTGGGACTAAGCTAAGTCTCAGTACGGCTTTCCACCCAGCCACCGATGGACAAACAGAAAGGACGGTACAGACTATCGAGGATTTGTTGAGAGCTTGTATGTTAGATTTTCAAGGGTCTTGGGAGGACCATATGGATTTGATCGAGTTTTCTTACAACAACAGTTATCATTCGAGTATTCGCATGGCACCTTATGAAGCTCTCTATGGACAGAAGTGTCGTAGCCCGCTTTGTTGGGAGGATCTTGTCAATCCGATAGTGTTGGGGCCACAATACTTGTTGGACACATCCGAGAAAGTTAAACAGATACAGGAAAGGATGAAAGCGGCTCAGAATCGTCAAAAATCTTATGCTGATTTGGCTAGAAGACAGGTGGAGTTTTCGGTTGGGGATAAGGTTTGGTTGAAGGTATCTCCCACCCGAGGAGTAATGCGGTTTGGGAAGAAAGGGAAGTTGAGCCCTATATTTGTAGGCCCGTATGAAATCTTGGAAAGGATTGGGAGTTTGGCTTACTGTTTGGCGTTGCCTTTGGAGTTGGAAAGAGTGCATAATGTGTTTCACGTATCGCAGCTCAAGAGATATGTTCACGATCCGGCTCATGTTTTACCACCGGAAGTGTTACCGATAGAGGAAGATTTGTCTTATGAAGAAAGGCCGCTCAGAATTTTGGACTTCAAGACTTGGGACACTCGTAGGAAATCTGTTAAGATGGTAAAGGTTTGGTGGTCTCATCATGGGGTTGAAGAAGCTACTTGGGAGCTAGAGGCATCGATGCGGGAGCGGTACCCTGAGTTGTTTGTGGAAGGTACCTTGTTTCCTTAGGTTGTTGTGTGCTTTGTGTGCTTGCTTGTTCTGTTTGTTGCCTTGTTGTTTAGCTAGTTTGTTAGTTGGTGTTTGGGTTAGTTCTTGGTTGTTGTCTAGAAGTTGGTTGTTGTGTTGAGGTTAGAGTTCTTGATGCTCAATATATCCGTTTGTTGACCCCTTGCCAATCCTTGAATTCGTAATGTCTTCTTCTTTGCTTTGGAACCCTTGTGAGAACTTTTGGAGTTTTTGACCAAAAGGGATATTCTTGAAATTTCTTGTCACAATTTTGTTTCCTTGTTACCTTCATTTTAACTCGTTGTACCCAAGTTTCGGGGACGAAACTTCTTTGAAGGGGGAGAGGATGTGACACCCCAAAAATCCACACTCCAATCCATGATTTAATTGAGTAATTAATTCTATTTCTCTTGAGGAATTGATTCCTAAAATCCTGATTTTTTTGATACTCAAGGACTAGTATTTGACTAGTCAATCTTTAAGTTGTGTTGTACCTTGTGCTTTGGGACGAGTTCCCTTGTTCCTTACACTTTCTAAGAGTTAGTAAGGGTAGCCTTGTCTTTTCACCAAGAGTTAGTTTTGTAACCTAAACCTAGAAGACTTCTTCATTTCATTCCTTACAATTCCTAGAAAAATATCTCTACCTTCTCTCTAGAAAAGAAGAGTAGCTTGTTCTTCAAGCCAAGTGAGACTTTTGTCAAGATTCCAAGTTTTGCTTCCAAGGTTCAATCTTTCTCCTATTTGGGCATCTAGAAGGGTAAGATCTAAGCTTGTATAGTCTTTTTGGTTCCATCATAGTTGTTGTAACACCCCAGATTTTCAGGATATTTAAAACTTATGAAACAAAGGTGAAATCTTATTAAATCCCAAAAACAGAATACAAGAGTACGGGGTGCTATGCCACACCTGAGTTAGAGAACTCAAGTGCACAGGCTAACTAACTAATGCCTCAATAATGTTAATGTGTGAACATGGCACGCAGGCCGTAGGGGAAACTAACTACTTCTATGTTCCAAGTTCTAGCGCGCACTAGTGACTTACTCTTCTGTTCCTGAAAGCCAAATATATCTGTTCAGCGAGAGATGCTGGTAACCCACTCCAACGTGTTGAAATACATTACATATAGAGATATATATAGATATACAAAAACCATTTTGAAGCATGAAGATATATCCTACGAGACTCTAGCTTTTAAAACCGGGAATGACTCGACAGATAAGGCTAGACACAAGCAACAGTTATAACAGGCGTATACAATCCTCCACAGGCAAGACAGATAAAGCTGAGCACAATTAATAATCATAACCCAATGTAAGCAATCCCCAGCATAGATCCCATAGTAACATCCCCCAATATAATCATAAACACACTCATCCATATCTCATCACATAGCACACTTTGTTGGCGCCACAGGACCAATCGCATGCCCATACATGAGGGTCAGCGCATATAGCCCTGACACGGCCCCGCAGCACCCTGCCCCGTCTCACATTACGGAGGAGCCGATCGCAACCGACTAATGAACCGCAGTTCTATATAATATTTATATACCTGATCGGTCTCTACCATCCTGGTTAACAGTTGGGATGGTTCTCAACCCATTCAACTGCCTGTATAGTGGACCTTTGTCCTATATAATATTTATATACCTGACCGGTCTTTACCAGCCTGGTTAACAGCCGGTATGGTTCTCAGCCCATCCGACTGCCCGTATAGTGGAACTTAGTCCTATATAATATTTATATACCTGACCGGTCTCTACCAGCCTGGTTAACAACCGGTATGGTTCTCAGCCCACCCGACTGCCCGTATAGCCCGATTGATCTCAACCAATTCGGGGTGACACGCACACATAACACGTAGCAAGCACATGCAACCCACATTAACACAATGGGAAGGGGAGGAAACATATAACAAAACCTATGCGTGATCCTTCACATGCTAAGAATAGTCCTAAGGAGTTCATACTCCTTTCACCTAGGTCAGCGGGATACCAATTCAACTAGCATGCAATATATAAGATTCATACAACCTACGAACGGTACCCGAAATATCAAACTAGACATAGGCACGATAGACGGAGTCCATTGGGACACCACGGGGGTCGGGGAAACATCAAACGAGGAAGCCGAAATCCCGGGTTGGGGTATTTTCCAGCGGGTAGCCGGTGGGTGGGGGTCCACCCGCCGGCTGCCCGCCGGCATGCACTGTTCCGGGCAGCGGGTGCCCGGCGGGCAGCTGCCCGCCCGCCGGCTGCCCGCTGCCGGGACTGCCCGACTTGGCCGCGGGTAGGTGGCGGGTCCCCTACCCCCACCTACCCCCCACTGACTCTTTTCATCACAAAAACGCCCCAGGAACCATTGTGGAACCTGAAACCATGCTTAGACACTTTACAACGCAATTAACGATCAACACGTAGTCAATTAACGGATCAAATACGAGAAACGTACAGCACATAACCTATCATGCTTTTCTAACATAATCGACACCCCAAACATGCAATTTCCCACCCGATACACCAAGAATGATATCATACGATACAACCTAGGGTTCTAATCACTTTTATACCCACAAGAATACGATTCGTCCTCCAATTACAAGATTCGGTGCAAATAACACATAAGCATATACAATTATCAAGAATGACATATAAACATCAAGAACTCCACATAATCATCAAGAACATCATAATTATCAAGAATCTCCCAATATCAAGATCACCCATGGAATTATCCCATCAATCATCAATAATAATATCGCAAATCATCAATACACAATAATATGGGGAAATCCTACGGGGGAAATCATAGCTATGAAAATAGGTTTTGTTGAGACATGGGTTACCTCTTAGCCTTAATTAATTCCTTGGCTATGAAGGGTCTTTCTTTAAGCTTTTTTGCTTTCTTGCTTTCTTGATTTCTTCTAGGGGGATTCTTGGAGCTCTTTGGGGTGGTGGGCGTTATTCTTGTGGTGGGGGGTTTCTAGGTGCCCCTTAAGTCCCCTATTTATATATTTAGGTGTCCTAGTTAGGAACTAATATTATGGGCTTGCTAGTTCTATTTCTTTTGGGACTAAGGATTGGGTTTAGGGATAAGGGCCCGTGGACTATGGTGGGCCTTCCTAATTAATTATTGTGATTTAATTCTTTCTTTTGGGTAACTGATTAAATGATTTAATTGATCTTAGGGGTCGTAACACGGGGTGTTACACTCTCTCCCCCTTATCGGGAAGCTTCGTCCCCGAAGCTTGGTCCTTGCCGAGTGACTTTCTCCTAGTTACCTGGTGTGAAAAGTTCGGGGTAGCGTTCCCTCATTGTGTCTTTGAGCTCCCACGTTGCTTCCTCGGTCCCATGGTTGGTCCAGAGGACTTTCACCATTTCTATGGCTCGGCGACGGGTGTTTCTTGTCTTGGTGTCCAAGATCCTCACGGGTCTTTCTTCGTATACTAGTGACTCGGGTTGAAGCACGTGGCTCGGGTCGTGTACGTATTTCTTTAGCTGGGATATGTGGATTATGTTGTGTACTCGTTCTAGTTCGACGGGTAGGGCGAGGCGATAGGCTAGGTTCCCAACTTTTTCTATGATTTCATAGGGGCCGATAAATCGAGGGCTGAGCTTCCCTTTCCTTCCGAATCTCATCACCCCTCGTGTGGGCGAGATTCTCAACCAGACCTTGTCCCCGGTGTTGAACTCGGCTTGTTTCCTCTTTAGGTCGGCATAGGACTTTTGGCGGTCCTGGGCAGCCTTCATCCTCTCCCGGATGTGCTTGACCTTGGTGATTGTATCCTGTAGGTGTTGGGGCCCTAGTGTTATTGGGTCGACCATGTCTTCCCAACATAAGGGGGTTCTGCATTTTTGTCCGTATAGAGCTTCGTAGGGTGCCATACGAATGCTCGCGTGGTAGCTGTTGTTGTATGAGAATTCAATAAGGTCTAGGTGTTCCTCCCATGTCCCTTGAAAGTCTAACACGCAGGCTCTTAGCATGTCTTCAAGAGTCTGAATGGTCCTCTCGGTTTGGCCGTCCGTGGTGGGGTGGAAAGCAGTGCTTAGTTTTAGTTGTGTCCCCAAGGCTAATTGCAGTGATTTCCAGAATTGTGAGAGGAACCTGGAGTCTCTATCGGATACGATGTTTCGGGGGACTCCGTGATACTTCACTACTCGGCTCAAGTAGGTTTGGGCTAGTTGTGTCATTGTCCACGTTTCCTTCATGGCGATGAATCGCGCTGTTTTGGTTAGTCGGTCCACTATGACCCAAATCTTATCCTTGCCGGTCTTCGTTGGGGGTAGTCCTCCGACGAAATCCATGGATATGGAATCCCACTTTCCTTGTGGTATCTCAAGGGTTGTACGAGTCCCTTGGGCTTGCATCGTTCGGCCTTCACCCTTTGGCAATTCGGACACCTGGCCACGAAATCCGCGATTTCCTTTTTCATGTTGGGCCACCAGAACGACCTTTTTACATCTTGGTATAGCTTGTCACCCCCTGGGTGAACCGAGTATGGGGAGTTGTGTCCTTCCTCCAAGATTTGTTGCTTCAAGTGGGGGTGCGTTGAGGGCACGCACCACCTACCTTGGTAACGGAGACTACCGTCTTCGTGTATTTTGAAGGGTCCTTCCTTCCCCTGGGTTAGGTCGAGGCGGATTTTATCTAGTTCCGGATCCTACTGTTGCCCTATTTTGATTTCCTCGAAGAGCGTAGGTACGACTTGTGTGTTGAATAAGTGGATGTCGGGGTGGTTTTGACCTTGTTTTATTATTTCCAAATTCAGTCTTTGGAAGTCCCTGTACAGTTGGTCCGGTAGGATCCAAGTGGTGTTGAGGGAGTGGTTAGTCTTCCTGCTTAGGGCATCCGCCACCACGTTAGCTTTTCCCTCATGGTATTGGATGTCCAGGTCGTAATCCTTTATGAGTTCTAACCACCTCCGTTGTCTCATGTTTAGGTCTTTTTGGGTGAAGATGTACTTTAGGCTCTTATGGTCCGTGTAAAT